CTGGGGTGCTTCGAAGTGACACAGCATTGCCCCAGAGATCTGATTAGTGCCCCAGTGCTGTTAACGAGCGACACAGCAATACACCGTGTTTTCTGCATTGGCCACCCCCTTGTGATCACCCCTTCCTTCTTCTCACTCCTGAATCCTGAAGTGAAAAACGCTCCCCTACTGGGGTACAGAAATAAGCCAGCTTTTAGTGTAGCCACTGGTCCTCTGGGTGTACTGTGTCAAACACAAGTCTTGGGATCGTTTCCAGCTCTGCTGGTTCTCATGTTACTCTCTTTTCCTTGTCTTCGCAGGAGCAGGCCCAGGGAACCATGCTTAGAGTTCTCACATCTTTTAAAAGTAGTGAAATAGAACAAGCAGTGAATTCCTTAGACAGAAATGGCATTGACTTGTTAATGAAGTATATTTATAAAGGATTTGAAAAGCCAACAGAAAATAGCAGTGCAATATTACTTCAGTGGCATGAAAAGGTATGTGTTTGGTGCTCTCTTGGCTCAATCACACTGGAGTTTCTTTTGATCTTTGCTCTCTTTGAGCTTGGACTCATTAAGCCTTTACCTGTGTTTCAAACCTTACCCGCAGCCAGGGGGAGAGATGGGACTCGTGGAAGGTCAGCGTCCACTGGAGGAAGTACTGTGCTGCCTTCTGCGTCTAATGAGTGCAGCAGCCCCACCGAGGAGAGAGCTGGGAGTGGAGATGTGGGTGGTTGAATGGCATAGCTGGTGGTGTTTCTTTGTAGCTGAGTGTTCAGACGAGGGGGTGCTCAGGCTGGCTCAGGTCTGGCAGTGTTCATCAGCTGATGCTGGTAGCAGCATACATGGCACAGCTTAGTAACAGGACTCAGCAAACCTGTTTGGTTTGCACAGAAGAGGCTTTTGACATCTCCAGTAAGATTCCGCTGGGATCCGGGGTGGTCCTCTCATGTTTCTGTGAAATACCATTTGTGAGACAGGGAGGTAGGATGTGTTCATCTGCTGTTAATGTTCCCTCTGTGTGATGGGATGAGGGACGTGAAGCAGCTGCTCGGTGCCACTGCCCCCAGGCAAGCATCCCAGTGAAATCTGCCCCAGCCCTGGCTGTCAGCACTCCTCCTAGGAAAACTGATCCCTAGGAATGCGGCAGCTCCCTGCACCGCCAGCAGTGTAGCAGTGCGGCCTGCTGCTAATGCCGGTATTGTTTTCTCCAAGTACGTTTTTTTTCCTGTGATACGTAGACAGAACTCTTCCTTTTTTTTCCTGTTGTTTCCACTGGAGGCTGTTTTCAGGTAACCCTGGGTGGGTGTTCCCAGTGTGTAATGTTACACAACACCACCCTGACTGGAAGGATGATAGTGCTCAGAGCACGTAGGCACACGTAAAGCATCTCATCCTCTTTGTTTTCGAAGGAACAAGGCAGGTCTGAAGTAGGCTGGGCAGGGTTTAGAACCTGGCTTGTGTTCTGCTTTTTGGCTCTACCAGTAAGACGTGTGGCTTGCTCAGTCACAGCACCAGTCTGTTACTGGGAAAAGGGCCGTCGTCCCTGTGCACACCAGCTCTGGTAACTCGGGAATGTTTATGTGCATGCAGCGTGCGCAGGTTCTGCTCTGCATGGATGCTTTGCGTTCACATTTCCTAATGAGAGCGAGGCGTCTCATGCTGTTGATCATTGTTCTCGTTTCATACCTTGCAATACCCCCTGGGCTGCATTTGAATTATGTCTGCAAAGTAAACACGCCTCATTTTAAGCAGTCAGCTTTAATATTTATTTTTTCATAATCACATCCATCATCTTCTAGACTTTAGAAGGATACATTATTTACATTGAGGGATGCAAATGAAGCTGAAATGAGGCCTCCCTCCTTTCCTATTCAGGGATATGGGAGGTGAGATGTTGTGCATCGTCAATGACCAGCAACATTGGTATCCTGCTCTAGATCCAAAAGGTGGTTAGGTTTTGGAGAATGTCATTTCCCCTTAAGATTTACTGGTATATGTGTTACTAAATTATTGTATTTGGTTTTGCCTACCCTTCAATCCCTTGGTTCTTATGTCATGGAGTACATTTATAGAATATTACTATGTATGTAACTGCAGTAATTTAAGGCAAAGGTCCTCTTGCCTGTATTTACAGAGGGGAAGGGAGGCATAAGCTTCCCAAGATTGGAACAAGCAAGGACCTGAGTTCAGGTCTGAGCTCCCCCATTAGCCTTTAACTGTCAGCCTAAATCATTCAGAGAACGCACGGCAGCGAGGAGTCAGTGTGTTGATGCAGAACTTATCACAGGAAGGCAAAGGCGTCAGCAGGGCAGAAGGCACCTGCAGAGACACGAAGAGGTGGAACAACCCAAGAACTGTATTTCCTGGTCTGGTGGTAGCTGCTAGCATAGAGCTGCGTTCGCTCTGGGGCCACGGGAGCGAGCACACCCGTGTGAGCGCTTTGTGTGCTGGAGCACCACCACTGCCTGGCTTCGCAGGCTGCTGGGGGCAATGCAGCTTCCTCATGCTGCCTGAGACATTTTAGTACCCGAGTGAAACAACTTAAAATATCTTTATGTCTGCATGTGCTACTGTTGTAATGATTTGAGAGCAAAAAAAGGGGTGGAGTGAGGTGGAACAGCCCGTGCTGCCTATGTGTGGAAAGTAAGTTTTTGGAGAAGAGCCATGTACTCTTCTGTTATTAAACACTTAATTGTCTGTTCTTTTAAGATGCCTTTTACGTGCGATGCAGCGACTCTGTGTAACACCTCTCTCCTTTTCCCATCCCCACAGGCATTAGCAGTAGGTGGACTAGGTTCCATAGTACGAGTTCTTACAGCAAGAAAGACTGTTTAAAAGACTATTAACTTGAACCAAGACGACGATCAGTTTTGGACTCGGACGAAGGAATTAGCTGTAATGACACTGTTCCATCTTTACTGCAATCTACTGAAACACTATGGAAACCTCCTCTTGGAATGCTTTTAACCTTAAAGGTGGGGGAAGAGTAAAGGTATTCCTGCATATTCTGACTATCGAATACAGGAGCCAAGACATTCTCCTGATCCCTTCTTTAACAGGCAGAGAGAAGGCACACTCGTGCCTCCTATTACTGTAAGTGAACAGGTATTTTCAGATGCCGCTTTATGACACGTGGCGATAAAAGATCCTGTGTGTTCTACTTTAAGAGGTAGCTATGTCCTTGGCAGATGCAAGATCCTGACGGGCAGGAGAAGTGTTTATTAGAGTGATGGTTTTGTACATATGGTTGAAGGACTAATTAGACTATGGGGTTGGTTTCAGTGTAAAGTGCCTGCTGCATCAATAAAGTTCTTGGATCACATGAGTTAAGTAATTTATTTTTCACTAAATCGTAAGTCTGACAGTTATTCAAAAGCAGGCCAGCAATATACAATTCTAAGCTAAGTGTCCACCTTTGCATGAACACTCTTCACTCCAACTATTTACAGAATTTGTCCTCAAATCCAGCTATGCTGGCTGTAGGGAGTGGCTCCGGTCAAGGCTTCTAAGATGCAGTGACTATAATACATAGTCACCCTGGTTTGATTTTTATATTCTTGTCCATCCTAGAAAGTCAAGAAAATACTTCAGAACTGAATTATTTAAGTATTAGTGTATCCTTACCTTCTGCAGTGTAGCAAAGTGAGCTGCTTCCTTTGAGTCAGTATGCACAGCTGCTTTATCCTTGATTCGTCCAGACAGAAGGACCCAACTAGTCAAACCATCGCTGTCTCCACCACCAGTTACAGCACCCTTGGCAAGAGCGCTGGGCTGTACGGGGCATGCCGTGAGTCTGGCAGGGTTATCTGCCAGGAAGGAACCGTCCTTTTGGCACAGACAGGCACAGGCGAAGGGAAGCAGCTGCTCAGGGAGGCCCTACTCTATTCTATCTTTATTTCTATCAGCTGCTAAAAGCACAGCAGCAGCTGTCCCTGTGAGAGACGATTCTAGGTCTCTAGAAATCGTCTGCCTCATTCCTGGCCCAGCTCCCTATAAGAAATAGGGGCCTTAATTACATGGCTGACACACCCATTCTTGCCAGGGGCAGAAGGTGGGGTTTGTTTCATGCTTTAAAATCTCTCAGTTTTAAATAGCTGTAGCATCCCAGTGGAGATAACCAGAACTATAAAGAGAAAGAAATCAAGATTGGGGTTTTGATCCAAAATGTATTGCACCACAAATTTCATAGTGTTTCATAATACAATCCATATTTACAGCATAGAAGGAAAGAAATCCAATGGCCATAGAAAGGATTATGTATACCACCGTCTTTATACAAGGGAAAGTGCATTAGCTTTTTAATATATGTATACACATCATTCTTGCTCTGATATCTAAAAAAACATCCAACACTTAAGAACTAGTTTATGGTAAATTGATCCAGTGTAAGTTTTGGGATCTTAAATTGAAGTTGTGTTAGTGAATATATAATCTAAGATTTTATATTGTCACTCTTTATTCTAGGCTGCCTGTACTGTTTTTCTTACTGTTCAGCAGTAACCTTTCAAGCCAGGATCAACATAAACCAATCAGTCATTCAGCGTGAGTAGAGGGAATCCCATCCCCTGGTGTCTCGGGTCCCACAGAAACCTGGCCAGGGCAAAGGGACATTCTACAGAAAAAGACCTTAGAGAATAAAATCTTCCCAGAACCAACAGGGTTATCGTGCCCCTGCTTCATTTCAGTACAGGAGCAATTGATGTAAACCCACTTTCTGATTGTCTATTTTCATATTAGAGCAGAATTGTACTCTTCCCATAAACTTGCCTATGCTACCATTAAGTGCCATGGATCAGGTTACTAAAGACAGTGTTTGGACAAGCTTTAGTGTACTAAAAAAATCCTGTTGGTTTTCTTAACTTTAAATGAATATAACCTAGCTCTAAATGGAGGAGTGTCACTTGTGCCAAGGTTAAGAGCTACTGCGAGTACCTGTGTCCGGGATATGGCTGATTAACAAAAACTGGGGAGGTCAGGGTGTAGGTTTGCAGCACATTTACCGCTCTGATAACTGACCGCACGTAGAAGGATACTTCCATCTTTACCACAGCAGGAGTGTGCATGGACCCAGGGAGCAGCTCCCGTGCTGTAACTCTGACACTGCATCTTGACTGCCACCACCAAGGTCATTCAGACCCCTGTTAGCAAGCCGAAGTCAGAACCTGAACAGTGACTATCTCCACTAGAGGACAGGTTGAATTTTCTTGAATGTATTTAATAAAAGTGTTGTTAGGAACACAAACCTCATTGGAAGAGAATTACCAGAATGGCAGCCTGCTCACTGAATTCCATACATGTGTGGTTTTTTGAAAATAGGTCTTGTTTTACTGCTGCTTTCCATTTTCACCTAGATTTTGCAGTGGTGTTTGTTAGTAACTACCGGAAAAATTGTGCTTCCAACTCTGTGAGGCAAGTGCCTCCTTGGTCCCCTTTTAAGGGGGAAGGAAAACAAGCTGCTGGAACCAGGATTTATTCATTAAGAGTTGAATGTTGCCCTCAAAACCAAAAACCTCATGAGCAGCATTTCTTTTACCATGTAGTTAGGACACAGTTAACAGCCCCACTACCTGTTCATAACAGTTTTTAAGCATCAGTATTTGAAGTACAGAAAGCTACAACCAAAGAGGCAGATAGATACTGGTATACAGATCTGTTGCTAGCAGACTTGGAAGAAAAAAAAATAAAAATCAAAGTGTTTAGTACCCATATTCTTCACTAGATTTTTCTTTTTTTTTTTTTTAAATAAAAGGTATTCTCAGTGTGCATTTACAATATCTGGAATTCAGCTTTAAAAAATTTAAAATGGTTTACTACCCCTTCTTCCCAATGCTAACAACCTATGGTACAGGCAAATAGATTACTTTTAAAGGCGACTGAGTATTAGGTACTATAATTAAGACCATTTTAAATATTATTTTTCTTTAAGAAAAGTAAAATCAGACAACTCTGAAGTTGTGCTCTCAAATTAAATAATCATCATCAACATGCAGCCTTCAGGACTGCAGGCCAGGATATATGCACCTTAAATTACACAGTGATATGAAAAAATGCGAACTATTAGTTATGTCAGTATAAGAAGGCAAGGCAGATTTCTTTTTTGGTTAAAGCTCCTGCTCCTGTTCTTTGAAAGGCTTTTCAAAATGTCAGAAACTCAATACAGTACTGCCAACATTTTTTTTCATTGCTTGCTTTCCACAGCGAGACAAGGAAGCTTTACTGTGTCTAGAGTTACTCAACTCTAGCACTCCCTAACAGAAGCTGGAATCACCATCGTAACAGATGAACGTGTTAGAAGCCTGAACTGCCAGCACCGGTACTAGTGAGGTTAACATTACCCTTTGGTGCCAAGAAAACAAGCCCGATGAGCACAAGCAGCTGACTTCCACGAAGAGACCAGAGACAATGGTCCCTGAATCCAACCCAGAAAAGGTGTTTCAGTCTGCAGTGAAAATTTCTCCTTGCACAGTATTAGTTTTGTAAACAGCGTCAGAAGTTCTTGTACAAAATACTGCAATGACAGTGATTTAAGACACACCTGAATTAGTGTGTTCAGTGTTCTTTTCACAGAAAAAAGTGGCTAGATGCTGACCGCCCATTTTCAGGTTCTCTTAAGGCCACAGTGTCCTTGGGCTTGAGATAGACGGCCGGATACTGCCTTTAGGAGATGGCTTTGACCCAAACCACGACATCTAGGACAGGAAAGCACAATACACATTATGCTAGGTTCACGCTTAAGAAGCTGAAGATTTGAAAAAGAAAGAATATAGTACATATGCATCTCCCCATCAGTTGATAGAACGAAGTGCTGTAGCACTGGAAAGTATTTCCCTCACTGAAATGGACATTTTCTGACATGCATGTATGTGATTAGCTAACATTTTAATAATAAATTATATTTACTATTGTGGCTAGCATTTGGAAAAGATAGTTTTAATGATCTCCCAGCATCGAAGAATTTTCATTCTGTCTGCTGGGAGTCCCGCTAGAGACTACAAATGGAACAGAACACTTACCTTGTACTCCAAAGTTTCTTTAAGCATGTTTTCTTCCTCTTGTGAAAAATTCAGTAACACAGATACAGCTTTAATTAGATGGAATGCCTGAAAGAAACCATAGTATTTTGTTGCTTATGATGCTCTCAGACTCTACTTTCTGGACTATGGTGCAGCACAGTTTTTCTGTAGGTTTGGTCACAGACTTTTTAGTCACAACTGCAAAGAGCAGAGCACCAGCCTTCCGTTACCCCCAGTCGCAATAGACTAGGATGGCCTGTATCTTATTTCTTCTGTTTGTGTTTCCTGGCTTTCTGTCCTTTAACATTCATTTGCATATTTGGGGGAAAGAAGACAAACGGGGAGCCTAGCTAGTTAGAGAAGAAGCTTGGCTCCTGTGGCATCCTAGTTTTTTTAAGCTTTGAAAAGTTGGTCAAACCAGCACGTAGGGCAGGAAAGAATCATGCCGTTTTAAATATACACTTAAGTATGTTAAACTCTATAGTACTAATATTCTAAATGGGAAACACAATGTGGAGTTAGTAAAGAAGTCAAGCACTCAGGATACCATGGAGTTGCACAATTACTTCTTGATCTTACCCACTGACTTGCAATTGAGCAAAGTATATTGTTGGCATGACTTTTTCACCTTTAACTTTTTTGACACCATGTGGAGAATGTGAAGGAGCTCCAAATGCACAAGGAACTACCTCTTACAGATCAGCTGCAAGTGGTGTATGTCTTTTTCTTGGTGGTTTTTTGGTTTTTTTTTGGCCATCTTAAATGTACAACTACTGTCATTAAGTACTCCATATGCTTTTTAGAGTAGTGCAGAAGGAATGTCTTACAGCTTCAGATTTTTAACTTCTAGACATAACTACCTCTTAAAAATTCGTATTTCCCTTTCTTTTAGTTCATAATAATCTGTACTTCCAAACATATCACTGTTAGCTATTTTACTTAATTGTACTGAATCAGTGAACAACTTTTTAAGTGTAAAAGTATGGAACTAGCATAGAAGTGTCCTTAGCAGGTAACAGGTGGCAGTTTCTAGAGAAAGACAGACTTAGAAACAGAATGTAAGAGTACATCTTTACCTCAGATTCCCGGCAGGACATGAATTTTAGTACAACATGTTTAAGGTACTCAAAGTTTATCTCTCTTGAGTCGTTTAAATCAGAGTTGTTTGTGACAGTCACAGAAGCATTAGGCACTTCAGAATTTGCTCTTTCCCGTACTTCAGGTACCTCACT